TAAATACTGCGCCTCAAGAGAAAGCAGAGAGTTCAGTCTGAAGTCAGGCGACTGGCTGAACTCTCTGCCTTCGGGTGGGGAGGAACCCAAACGAGGCTACGCCGAGTCTCTTTTCGGGGAGGTAAACCGACCCTGAACCCGTTTATACGGGTTCAAAGGGCATATTTCGGGCTCGGAGATCCCACATTAAAGCAGCCTTGTGCCACATGATGACCTCGTGGGGGGGGGTGACTAAATACCGTTCAGTCTGAAGTCTGGAGTGAGGTCCGTCAGAAGTCCGTCAGGAGTCTGTCAGAGCAAGCGAGTCAGTCAGTTAAGTCAGAGGCAGTCCGAAACAGAGTCGCATTCAGACAATTGCTCCAAGACATTGGAATAGTGATACTGGTCGAGACTACATTGTTCTCCCTACTAAACCTGATTGTTCATACTAACACTTTCTACTTCTCTGTATATATTCCTGTTTGTAATATATCTGTGTTATTCCATATCCGTGTTCAAGTTCTTTATTGGTTCTACCTTGGACCATCACCGTGGTACAAGGACCTGGACCATAACAATCTTGTATGAAAGATATAAAACTATGTCATATATTTACAAATATGAAAGTATTCTCATTTAATATATACCTGTGATAAAAGTTAGCAACTAACAAAAGATAGAAAAATTAAAAGAAAGATTAGGAGATTAACTATTGTAATTTGATATAACAAATAATGCTGATTAAATATGATTGCATGTCTATGAGGGCAGAAACACATGCCTCCTTAGAACAAGAGTCAACATTCCAAAAGAAAGTAGTCAACATTCCAAGGAAGAAAGTAGAAAACATGATAAAAAAGAAACAAAAAAAAAAAAACAACTACAAAAGACAAGGAAAATAGTTTAAACTAACCAAAATAGAAAGATTAAAATACCTTGCCTACTAAAATGCAAATAAAAAATAACAGAAAATGTTATTTATTTTAACATTATTTATGCAAATACCTGAGCAAATCTTGCCTTGGGTTATCAATAAGAAAGGCAAGGAGCATATAACTTAAAATAACCTGTACCAAATTCCCTTTCTGAAATATTTTAAATTGCAAAGATGTAATTATCACCCAAGCAAATTGTTGATATTGGCTATACTGTTTGAGGAAAATAAAGCCCATTCCTTGAGGTAATGTTATTTTAATAATCAAAATGCTAATCTAGAAATAAACTTATACAAATATCATAAACTATCTTTATGAGCAAATTTTTTTTTTTTTCTACAGAATCTCAAATCAGATCCAGGCTCAAAATTCAAAGTAAATTAAATTTTAAAAAATGTAATCAAATTTTAAACATCATTTTCTTTAAATCTGTATTTTTACCAAATCCATAATTGATCAAAATTTACCATCTGCTTGTAAAATCCAATTTTACTGTTTATTGTATGAAGAAGTATCCAGTTCACTTGTAGAATGAAAATATAGAGATACTTGCTTTATCAATGATTATAAAAATAAAATTGCTTCCATGAAAAATAAAACTTTGATGCAAAACATAAAAATGTCAATATACACATTTACATGTGAGATGCTAAGCAAGTGCAAAATGATAGAAGTATTTCATAATACACAAAGTGAAAATAAAAAAGATGAACCTGTATTCTCATATTTTTCCAAAAACTCTTTTCAAATGCACAATATGTTGTTCCTTAGATACATTTTAAATTAATATATCATCCAGATAAGTAACTGCAAAATCACAATCTGCAAGCATAGTATCCACAGTTTGTTGAAATATAGCTGGAGCCACTTTTATTCCAAAAGGAAGTCAGTTGAACTTATAAAATCCTTGTGTATATTTATAGTATATAACTCTAAAGAGTCTTCTTCAACCTGTATTTGCAAATACCCTTCAGAAAGATCCAGCTTCAAAAAAGATTTTCCACCATTTACAGTCACAAAAATTTCCTCTGAACTTGCTAATGGGAAGTTATAGGATTCTAAATATTTGTTTAACCCTGTCGAAAAATCAGCACAGACATGAATTTTATTATTTTTTTTTTTCTTCACATACACTGCAATGGTACTACCCATTTTGAATGGTCAGTATTTTCAATTACACCTATTTTTCTAAGTCTGTCTAATTCTTTGTTGATTTAATCCAATGCTGCAAATGATACACTACATTTCGGTTTAAACAGAGGCATTGACCATTTTTTCACTTGAAATTTCGTTTTGACTTTGGAAAACCAACCCAACTCATCTGACAGAACATCTGGAAAATATTTTTTTCAATTTTTCCTTTAAATTTTCATACTGTTTATTTTTTTTTTTAAACTGGTAGCGTGTCCACTTAAATTTTTGCAATAAATATTTATAGGTAAATCCCACAACTAAATTAATTCCATCCAGTCAGTACCAAATAAGTTTGTAGCATTAGCTTTGGCTTTTACACACTTGTTATTTCACCAATAGAAAATTTCTCACCAAAGACGCTGCATGCAATTTTCAAAGTTCTTTTTAATGTAGGTTTTCCATTTGCTTTCCCTGTGGCTGTATGGATTATTGTGATAGCACTACCAGTGTTGAGTTGCAATTTTACATCTACATTATTAATTTTCACATAAACAAATTTACTTTGGTTTTCTGTAATTATTTTTTCTGTCACAATGCTGTGTATAAAATTTTTTCTGTGAAAACTTTTCCTTGATTTAGTTTTACAATGTGATTTTTTAGGTCCTACTTTTTCACACTTGTAGCACTTTGAACTTTTAAAGGGACAGTCATCTCCGAAATCTGAAAGATGGATTAATTTTTCTTTTTCCACATTTTTCTTTAGCTTGTTTGCATGAGCATTCTTTTTCTTCAATTTCTTCTATATAACATCTCAGATTTAGGATTCTCTGATATTTGTTTGATATTTCTTGTAATGTTAGTTGTTTATTCTGTTCAAGTGATGTTAGAATTCTAGCACGTATTTCTGTGTCTATTTCGCCATTAACGCTTGAACAAAAATTAACCCTTTAAACATCTCCATAGTAAGTTCATTTAATTTGTATCCTTTACACTCCTTGTTAACGATTCCAGTATATGTGACAAAATCTTTGTATTCTTTTTTCGTCAGACTCATACATTTCCAATGAATAATGAACTTTTCTCACTAAAAATTTTAGTCAAAGTATTTACTGTTTCTTCAAAACAAATTTCTCCTGTTTTTTTTGGTAATAAAAAATTACAGTATTTTTCATTTTCTATCAAGGCTAACTTTCTAAACAAAAGTTTTGTTTCTTTCCTCATCTTCCCAGTCACTGCATTCTCCTCTGAAAATTTGCTAGTATCTCCTAAAATAAGCAGAAAAGGTAATTCTATCATTTGAATTGTATGCGAATTAAGATATTTGCCATCACATCAGGAGTGAAAGAACTTGGGGAATTTTTCGTTTTCTTCCATATTATTTCCATTAAAAATTGTTGTTTCTGGAGTTCCAACAGCTGCTATTATTGCTATATTTTTACCACATTGGCTAATAATTCTTACATATTTACAGAATATGTTTTTTTTTTTTTTTGTTTTTTTTTACACACACCAAAGAAAAATTAATCCAAAGAAATTTCTCATCGTCAATGTTATCATGTGCATCAAAGCAAAACGTACATTTTCTTACTCTATATGAATTTCGATCCCTCATTGGCACTGTTATGACTCACTCCTAGCAGTCATAATATTATGCCTCGCTTAGGCTACTTGCCGTAACACCATTAGAAATTCTCTTCAACTGAATCCAATGGACTTCCCTTGACTCACTTTGAGTTCTTTATTTAAGGCATCTTGCCTAGTTAATTTGTGTTAATTGGGGCATCTTATTTAATCCACAACAGATTTGAACCCGAGTCTCATGTTCAAAAAGTGAACATTCTAACCACTAGGGCATGTGCCTAACATATTCTATATATATATAGTTTATGCAAAACTAGGTAATCCGCATGGGTAGACCCAGGGAGGATGATATCCAGAGGGCTCAATGTAAAATTCAGAGCAGATATGTTTGATGCAGTCCATCAAAAACGTGTGAATTTCTTTTCATTTTTCATTTCAACCTTTGGAAGTAAAGTCTGATGATCCAGAGCCCTGTTAAAGGGGTTGTGGTGAAATAACTTATTACATGGAACCTTAAAGTGGTCTGTTTTTATTCAAACAAATATATATATATATATATATATATATATATATATAAAAAGATCGCTCAAATAATAAGCAATAAAAAATAAAAACAACCAAACTCACATGTTTCGCCTATTTTTTTTACTCATTTCACCCTAAGTAGGGCAATAACGCAACCAAGATGCAAAATTGAGTATTTTATTATGATTGTAAAAGTCATTTTGGATAGTGTGACTTGTAATAAACTTTTTTCATTATCCGAGCAGAGTTACTTCTATTGACAAAAATCAAAATACAAATCCCCTACTTCAGATGCAAAATCAATAGGCCAGATTTACAAACTGTTAATAATGTTATTCCTCACAAAATAATCCTTGGATATTAGTTGAGGCTAAGTTCAACAAATATTTACTATTTTAGATAGGTTCATCAATAAGTCTGTCTATAACATACTTATTTTTCAATGTAATCTTCTTCCTTTTCAATACACTTAATTCAGTGGTGAATATTAGTCATAGAGATTGAACATTATAAGGTGAAAATTTGAAAAAAGTGAAATTCTGCTTATTATCAGGTAACTGACATATTGACATACCTTTGTTGGTTGAACCAAATAAAATGTATAACTTTAAAGTCAATAATTACAAGCAGGTTAATTAAAAATGCAAATTCTTAATTTCATCTATCATGCTCAGTCTCTCACCTGCATATCAAATATTGCAGAATAGACAATTATAGTGATGCCCTTAATATCTGAGTAAGTGTTAGTGTCATCATGTCATCTTAATGCAATTTAATAAAACAAAAAGTTCACATTATTGGTACACATCTCAATTAAATTGTTCTTGTTAAAGGCAAATTGCTTACCTCCATTACAAAAAGATTTGGGAGTAAAGCCAAAATACTGTATTGAGTACTCTTCCATCGTTAGGTTGGTGTCATTTACATTTTCAGCCATGTTGCTCAGCACTTACACAGGCAATAACTTAAATGAAAGAAAAAGAAAATTAATATTCACAATAAAGTCATGAAGAAAAGCTGGTAAGAGTCATGTTCTCATAGCTAATAGAAGATGGTAAACTAAGTGTAAATTAAGCAGATGATAACAAAAATAGATAAGTAATGAAGAGTTTAACGAATTCTTTGTGCCCAGTGAGCCCAGTGATTTTCAGTCAAAAGGCTGTGTCACACTGATGTGCCATGAGGGTATCATAGGTGTGCCACAAGAAGTTTAAAGGTCATTAATTAAATTATTTTCAAAAGTGTGGAGTGAGTGGCCATGGTTAAAAGTAAAATAAGTAACAGAACTGTTCAAAAAACAAGAATTGACAAAATTTGCAATAAACAACAAGAAAAAAAAGATAAGAACAGGGGAAAATATAATATAAAGCAAGTAAACAATATATGTAAGGCAAATTAACAATAATAAGGCAAAGCAATAGTAGTATAGCATAAAGTTTACAAAGTAAGAATTGGGATTGACATACAAGAGAAATTTCAGACAACTGACTTCAAGACAACACAGACCAGGACTGAGTCAGATGAAACCGAGAACCGGCCTATTTTATTGGCTAGGAAAAAATCCCAGCATGCATTTCTATGCTTCAACCTATAAATTGGAGAGGGACAAGTTTCGAGGTCATTCCCAATTAGGATTGAAACCGACAGAAAGAAAAGCAAAGCACAATAAGTGTACATATCAAAATTAAATCCCCTTTAAATTGATTATACAAGTACATCATTGTTAATGTATATATAATATATAAAATAATATAGAAAGCATGCTTTTCTGCAATAAACAATATTAAAAACAGTTGATTAAGTTGATAACAGCTAGAATCCTTGGAAAAATATTTAAGAGTATGCCTGTTAAAAATTTGACCTTGCAAAGAAGATATTCTAAAAAAATGTCAAGCTCAGATAACTCACAGGAGGCTTTTTTATCATCATATTTTAAGTGTGTCACGGAAGTTTGGCAAAAGGTTCAAGTGTGCCGCGGAAGTTTGGCAAAAGGTTCAAGTGTGCCGCGGAAGTTTGACAAAAGGTTCAAGTGTGCCGCGGAAGTTTGACAAAAGGTTCAAGTGTGCCGCGGAAGTTTGACAAAAGGTTCAAGTGTGCCGCGGAAGTTTGACAAAAGGTTCAAGTGTGCCGCGGAAGTTTGGCAAAAGGTTCAAGTGTGTCGCGGAAGTTTGGCAAAAGGTTCAAGTGTGCCATAGAAGTTTAGCTAAAGGCTAAAGTGTGCCGCAAGATGAAAAAGGTTGAAAAACATTGCTTACAACAGATGGATTGCCAAGTTAATGAAGAAGATGAAAACTGACTTTTTTTCTGCACTTCCAAGAAATAAATAATTGAAAATAAAAATCAGACATAGCATAAATTTTCACAGCCATCAATCAGTACTCAAACCTTACATCCTCTGCTCTTCACACCATCATTCTCATCTTGGTTGTTATTCACACTTTTCAGCCAACCTTTTTTAAGTGTCTGTCTTCATATCTGGCAACCTTGAAATTTCAAACTTAACCCTTTATTCAATCTACAGGGGAAGATTTTTCTTGTTCTTCTTTCCATGCCTAGGGGAGATAATTCATGTCAGTTAATACTCATCATTTCTTTCATAGAATCTGTGTATATGACTTTACTGCATGGCCAGTCCCAGAGATTGAACTCACAATTGCCAAGGAACATGATATACTTTAACAAATGCTTTAATATACTAGTGTATGTCTCTTGGCGAATCTAGTGTTGAAATTCTGGAGCCTTAAATCCAATGTCCACACTCCAGTAGTGAGATTGGATAAATGTCCTGACCTGAAGTGGTGGTATTTTTTATGAGTGTCCTTTCTTTCTTAATCAGAGGCTCCCAGGGGGCATTCCTCTTTATGCTAGATCTACTGAAGAGGTTGTCAGGGCTTAACAAGTGAACTAATTTTTTCATTCATCATATCCTCCAGTGTTGTTCCTTGTCTATTATCTTGACTTCATTCCACAGGAAGTGATGACCATGCTTTTCTCTCCATATAGGATCAGTGATTCTCTATTCCAATGTGCCTCCCCACACAACAGCTTTTCAATGTTTCTACTCCCTTCTATTTATTGAGCAATTAATATCTCCTTTGTATTCCTTGTTACAACAGCATGGGATGTAATACACACATTTCCTGGTCATGTTTTCTCCCAAAGTAGGCTTGATTTGAGAGGAATTTCTGTGAAGGGTTGAAGACTATCCTGATGTTGTATTGCTTACATACATTAGTAGTTCTGTTGTCTAATAAAAAGTACATCCCTATAAAGAGTTCCATGGTATGAGGTTAGGAGTAGTCATATTGGAGTCAGTCTTCATACTAGCTATACAAGTATGCCTAAGTATTACATATAGAGAATACTTTAATGAAATACATTATACTAAACACAACAGTTTGTGGGAATGTTCAAAAGAACATTGAAAACAAGCAAGTCTGGACAAATTAAATGAGGTGGCACTTCAAAATTTATTGAAAGTGTACTGGTTAACACCTAACCCCAACACACCATCAGGCATGTCGCTGGTGGAATTCATTTTTGCCAGAAGGGTAAAATCAGTGTTCGACAAGTTATTGCCAAGTCGAAAATCACAAATGTTTAATAAAAGCAACACCAATACTTTCAAGATTAGCAATAAAGTATTCTTTATGGGAAGACAGCATAAGAGCATCTAGAATCAGAAAATTGGTCTACATGGCGAGAGGAAAAAAATTCCAACATAAAAGGCACCAAAATTAGCTGAAGAAAAGATTAACTGAGCCAGTTAAAATGCTTTACAACATTTTTGATGTGCCACTACCAAAACAAATTGTGGAACCAACAAGAACAAGTCCAAGGAAAAAAAAGCACACAGAAGAACTAGAACTGAATCTGAGAGAGAAATGCTACAAAGTATGTTGGTGAACTCTCCAGAAAGAGAGGGAGATACTAATACGAAAATAAAAATATTTGTTTAATAAAGTAGTAATCTCAAAGGGTGGGGAGGATGTTGTAGAGTAAAGAGTACACCCCTGGTGACTCTATGAACTCATCCAATACTATAAAGTGTTCCATGGTATGAGGTTAGGAGTAGTCATATTGGAGTTAGTCTTCATGCTAACTATACAGGCATATGGTACTAGCCTAAGCATTATGTATAGAGAATACTTTAATGAATTACATTATACTAAGTACAAGTGTGTGTTATAATAACCTTAGAATAGGAAGTTTATATAAGTTCCAAAGAACCACAATTATGAAGGAATGGAACACTCTCTGTCTTTCTGTAGTCAATGCCAAGACTTTAGACATTCTTCAAACAAAAAAGAAATCAAAATATATTTTGATTATATTGGCAGAGATGATAACTACTTGTATCCAATGTGCTGCTTCCACTGTCTTAAATGCTTCTCTAATTCAATGTTTTGATTTTTCTTGTTTTCTGTATGTTACTTGTGCTCTTTGCTATATCTTTTACTTCTCATTTGTTTGTCCATTTTCCCTAATGACTGCTAGGTTAATCATTGCATTGTCACATCACACTCAAGCCAAGGTTAAATACAAAATACAAGCAGCAACAAAGAACCATGCCTGTAAAAAAATTTATTATAGCGATGTATTTCTACAACTGCAGAAATTGTGGATATGAAGTCTAAGTGATTTCAATTTTTATTCTTTTGCAAAAATCAACAAAAGTAACATGTGCCCCTATAAAATCTGTGAAACCCATTTTAGAATATTTGTTAACAATCCCCCCCCAATCCCTAATCTAAATATTTTTCTTAGAAATAATCAAAATTCCAACACCAAAAAATAAGCATCAGAAATATATCCAGCAAGATTGATTGGCTTTCAAATACACCATGATCAGGCCTATGGCTGATTAGAGTTTTGTGCAACAGCAACATTTTACAAAAACCTTACACAATATTTCAATTCTGAAATTTAATTCTCCTTATTCATGGGCATGTGACAGAATTGCACAGCTGCCTATATCACATAATCATACCTTCATCCAACATAAAGAGGCAGATACTTCAAAATAAATAAAAAATGAAATTAAATATTTCTATTGATAAAATTCTTAACTTTTTTTATTTTTGTTATATTTATGTTAAAATTTACATGAAAAATGATTCAATCTTCCTGGAAGTTGTTATTTCCATATGAACATTATCACTTAACAGATTCATTCTTGCTTTTATATATATATATATATATAGATATATAGATAGATAGAGAGATAGATAGAGAGAGAGAGAGGATAGAAGGGAAGAGAGAGAATTACTACAAGTAAAAGGTTTGTCACTTAGCTGATGTTACCTTCAGCATCCCAACTTCAGAGTTTCAGAGAAGGACTATCCAGGAATTACTCTGTCCGCTCAACAGTGGGTATCAGCAGTTGACTGCTCGTACTTCTTGATTTTTCTTTTTTATATGCACTTTACATTGGTGCAAGTTTTATTTACCTGTGCTTGCATGTGTGGTTACAGTAACAATTTCTTCCCATAGACGAAGAATGGATATAGTATTTGTGGGGAAGCCTAATTATATATGTATATATTAACAACGACAACATGTCTAGAAAACCAGAAGTCAAATTGCAACAACTGGAGAAAAAAGAGGAAAGGTTAATGAGTGAGTGCAAAGTAAAAAAAAAAAAAAAAAAAAACAAAAAGAAGAAATAATCCTGACATGCTACACATACACAAATAAACACAGACAGGCACATGTATGCAAACACACATATAGTATGAAATATCAAAAAAAAAAAAAAACTTGCACCAATGAAATGTGCATATAAAAAAGAAAAATCCTGAGTATAAGCAGTAAATTGCTGATACCCGCTGACGAGTGGACAAAGTAATTCCCAGAGGTGCCATCTATGAAACTCTGGAGTCAGGATGCTAAAGATAACATCAA